CCCAGGCGAGGGGAGGAGGAGTTGGGAGGGAGGGGGGGACTGTGATGCTCTCAACATGACCCCCCACAGTTCAAGTATGGAATGAGAGTGACATAAAATAACTTACAGAAAAATATATGCATGAATGAACAAGACATAAAAAAATAAAACAAAAGTGTACTAAACTGCTGCAACACCTGGCCCATATTCTTGCCAGTCAGTGAAACAAACAGGACCACCACATTTTGTAACATTTTCATCTTTAATACAGGGGCTATGAACATGTAGTCTCATCTAAGGAACGGACCAAATACCACACATTAAATGTTATATAACTATTATGTTCTCTTTCTTTTCAGTACTAGATTTACATCCTGAAGAGTTATGCGTCTTTTAAATTAAAGTTTGTCATAGGCATTAATTTTTAGTATATATCTTCTTTTTTTTTTTTAGGTCCATACACATTGGTTTTAGTTAACAAAGATCCTGTGTTTCTAGGCTACATTTCACCCTAAACTGGCTACACTCATTGATCAAGAAAATAGACAAAACTGTATCATTTCAACTTCCACATCTAAGACATAAAAACATAATTTCTCTTGCAAATATAAGCAACTCAGTGGTGTAAAAACCATTGATTCCAGTTTTAAAACAGAAAACAAGCAGATGAGAAGACACCATCCATTAAAATCAGAATAAAAAGGACAAAAATCAATATGATGAGAAAAGACATGAGGTCCTCTGAGGAATGAAAATGATGAGCTACGGATGGTTTGTGACACTACGCACGTTTATCTCCACAAGTACAAAGTGCACGTGCCGACACATGGGACGGAGGTAAGTGTCTCTGTGGGCTGGTCGTTAATAGGGATCTCTCTTGCTTTCAGGCCTGGGTCAAGGGGGGAAGAAGTGGGGGGGTTAGGAATCCCTTGGTCCCTTGACTCCCTCAGGAGCTGAGGGTGAATTGGTCTTGCTCAATGGGCTTTTTGACCCAGGCCCCCAGGCCAGCCTTGTGGAAGGCCTTGATGAGCGCCTGCTTGGCAGAGTGGTACTCTGTGGCCGCCTGCTTGGCATCATGGTAGGAGCTGGGCTTGAGCATCTTGATCCACAAGATGGACGAAAGCTGAAAGGGAGGAAGAGAGTAAATAATGTGATCAAAAAATGAATGAGGAGTGTGGTTGTAATGCTGAAGCTGGGTTAAACTCTGGATTAAGTAAATATGAAGCTCATTTCATTGACCGTAGCTATGTCTCTCTTTCTGTATGTGTTTAAAAGTTTAACTGTAAAAAAAATTTATTTGATAAATTCAATCAGCAAGACTGATTCTCCTCACTTCAATTTTAGGGTTATTTTCCCAAGATGTTAACTTATATCCAGTGTCAAATGTTGATGTTGGAGTTCATATTTTACCAATCAGATCTCTGTATGTGGTCTGAGAATCATCATGTTACTGCTGGAATTCAATGTCCTGTTTGATCTAAGCGATGCTGTACTCCAACTCTTCTCTTGAGCCAGCTTTTCAAGGAAGTACGATTTCAAACTTCAGGTTTGCCTCAAGCTGCTAAATATGACATAAATCAAATCTGTCTTGAGATGAATCTCAGGGCAAGAAGATTGACATGTTCCAGCTGGATTACACGGTAGCACTTCTTACAATGTTGATTCAACAAAACTTGATTGCATGAGGAACCAGTAAAATGTGACCAAAACAACAGGAACAAAAAGCACCCCACATTACTAGTGAATAGGGCTGGGTATCAAACCACCACTGCTTCGAAACAATCGAGTGCATTATATTTACCTTGGAGTGTAGGCGCACCCAGCGGCTGTAGAGGGCGTTCTTGCAGAGACGTGAAGCGCGACCCATGTCGTCCTTGCCTGTGGTTGCATTGATCACCTCCAGCGCCTGGTCACCCACCGTCCAGTTCACGCTGAAGTTGGGTGCCTTGCCTGGCTGCCTGGCCTCTGCATTACTTATACCTGGAATCAAAAACAACGTGGGTCTAAGACTGAGCAAATGTAATTACATTTCAGATAAACTTAAAGAGTGTGTGTTCCTTCATTCTGCTAGCTAGAAAGCAAAAAAACCCTGTGAAAACGCATTGGATCACAAGAAAAATGCATCATCACAAATTTGAATATAACTTAGTTCATGAAAACCAGTTTTCCAATGCTTTCCTTTAGCAGCACATTTTAAGAACCTTTTCCCAACATTATGTTTAGACCCACAAGTAAAAAAAAAAACAACCCAAAATTAAAAACTGTCTTCAAGCTTTCAAGCAGAAAAGGGACTGTGTCAGTAATAAGATAATTATTTCCATTCTCCTTCCTCCAAAGCTTCTGTGGGGAATGTATTAAACAATGGATGAGGTATCCAAACCTGACAGCCCATTCCTTCAAATGACAGCTGTTCCCAAAGCTCTAATATCTTGAAACAGCAAGTGTTGCCATTTTTTTATTTATTTTTTGCTGTCCTACTGAGTAGAGACAAAATACCATCCACCTAGGGGGACTCTGAGGTCAGAGCCGGCTCTCTTCCAGCACACTACCGGGTCCACTGTATCTGAAGCATAAATGGGAGATATACTGTATGGATGTCATAAATCCTGGTGTCTTGCTCTTTGTGTGTGTCTGTGTGTGAGTGTATGTGAGTGTCTGTGTGTGAGTGTATGAGTATTAAGCTCCTTGGTTCCATTTGGCAGCACTTGTGGCAGAAGATGATTTAAAGGGGATGAAATCCTTAGTACTCTAACGCCACAGTGCTTCACCGCTAAAAACTCTCTAAAGCGGAAAAGGTTAATAACCCCCTACTATTATCTCCTTTACCCGCCATTTAGAGAGCAACCAGAGAGGAGGAGCTGCATATAGCTCCAGGCCCTGCGGTGTGATGCCCCTTGTCATCCCTGAGGAAAATGACCACAGCGTCACTTCATTCGATTTCGAGTGTTGAAGTAGCTTTTGTTGTGGTCTGCTTTGTACTGTTGCTGTCATGGATTGGGTTTTGTTTACTCTTATTTGTTAAAGCTGCTGATTCGCTAAACTCTGCCAGCATGGCAACCATAACTTGGCGCTGCAGGCCTGTCAAGCTTCGGATTTCTGCATTTAAAGGCTTTGGAGGGTTGTGGTGGAGTTTTTATCCTTTGATAAGAGCAAAAACACAAGAGAAAATACGTAAGGAAGGGATTGAACAGTGTGTTTATCTGCTTTAATGAAAGGTGCAAATGTTAGCATGTCTGCCAATTAGCTTCCTACCCACAGTAATAACTGATTCCAAGGCCAAGGAGAACATCATTAACGATCCAGTGTGTCAATATTTAGGAGTTATTGGCAGAAATTAAAAAAATGTAAATAAAGTGTGGTAGCCAATCTTGTATGCTATCATCATTGAAGCTATTGTTCGCAGCTCCAGCTCCTCATTTGGGCTAACTTCAAGCACTATGCTGCATTTTTATTTACAGCTTATAAAACTGATGGTCCCTGGCTAGAAGTGATAATCTTGTTTCACTGTTGATTAAAAAAAGAATTTCGATAAACTACACAGTATGTGCTGCGTGAGAAAGGAAAGCTTGACAGGCATAGCAACAGTAACTAAGGGGGTCGAGCCCTTCATTTTTCTTTACTTAAGCAGCTTTTCTTGTCTAGTCTTTTGATGTCAATGTCTGTATCAAGTGTATAATAGTTTATTTATTACTATTTTATATGAAAAAGAGAGGGAGATGAAAAAAAATGGGACAGAAAGAGAAATGAAAGGTCAGAAACTATGTTGAAAAAAAACTTAAAACTTAAAATTAGAGGAAATAAGTTATAGAGGAATAAATTACAGTTAAAAACAAAATGTCTTTTATGCAAATAGGTCTGGCAAATCTAACATTTACAGGGAAATTTCACATACTTATTGTTTTACAAAGTCTTCTGAACCACCAGAAGACTGAATGCTAAATCTAAAAATGGAAAGTCAGAAAAAAACAAAACAAAACGCAGGAGTCTTGGTCTATATGGCCTTTCTAAAAGGTCAAGCCAATGCTGAAAATTTACAAAAAATGATAAAGCTATTCAAATCCACAGGAACTAAGTAAATGTCAGCTCAGATTAAACAGAGGAAAAAAGCAATAACTGTCTTCGTGCTGTGGACTCACCAGCGAGGTGGATAAATATGTTTACTGCTTAGGATTAACATCTTCCTCTTTGATATTCAGACAGCGGAAGTTTGATTGGGAAAGATTAACAAAGAGAAACGCTCAAAACGCTATCACTTTAGCCTGACGTTTTGATAAGTTAACATTTCTTTTAGCAGAAATCTTATCAGATTCATTTTTCTTATTTCCACATCAGAGCAGGCACTGACCACTGAGTAGAGGCCTGTTGAGGGTGAACTGCTGGGGCAGGTCCTCGATATCTGCGATGCGTTGGTACATGGCCCTGGAGAGGTGGTCAGCGTGGTAAAGGCTGCCAAGGATGATGCTGGAAAAGTAGATTGGCTCTGTGAAGTAACTCATCAAAGAGCCCTGAATGCCCACCACATTCCACCTGCAGAGGGAAAACACAAACACACACGTTAGATAACCTGGCTTTGGAGCGTATTTGTTAGGAATGTGCCATTTTAACCGCATTTTTGTGGTGACTATGGAAAAATGTGTTTATATAATTTTGACCTCCACACACAGCGTCAGTTATTCAGAAGCTCAGACCAAACCAAACATCTCGGTTTACCACTTTTAAATTACATTCAAATGAATTGCGTACCTTGATGCCATAGCAACTGTAACTGCCACAAACAGCAAGCAAACACTGACGATATCTGTGAGCTCTTTGTGATTAAAACAACAAAACGAACATCCTCTTTTCTACCAATATTTTCTCAATGTTCACTCTACATTTTTATTAGAAACTGACAACTCCTCATTGTCTTAACCACTGAAATATGCTTCACAAAAATAAAGATGACTTTCAACGGATCACATTGTTGCCAAAAAAGTGCCCGGTGACTCTGGGTTTTGAGCTAAAGAACTGTGTTCTGTGTGACAAACACCGAAAAGTTCAAAGACTGAATATACAAAGAAATAGATAATGTGGTATGTGCATAAGTGGATACACACATACAACCGCACAAGCAAAATATATTAGTACATAACCAGCCAATGCAATCCACCACACACGATCACCCACAATCCTACAGTTGTGTACACTCTGAGGTATCCAATTTCATTTTCTACAAACTTCTGTGTATTTCTATGCTGTGTCATTAGCCATCTCTCCCCAGTCATTTTCCCATTGACATGCTCTGTGAAGCATCGTCTGAGGGGGAGGGAGAGAGACAGAGAGAGAGGGAGTTAGAGACATGAAGAGAGAGAGGGGCAGAAGATGAAGGGAGGATATTTCTTGTTGCCAACAAATTCCGTAAAAAAAAGAAAACAAGAAAACCACCAATAATTCAGTCCCTCAAGCCAAACCCATTCATTCCTAAGACGTAAATCTTAAAAAACAGATCACAAATATATGGTTTCATTCTTTAAAAAAAGGCTCAATAATTTCCTAAAACGACTGGGTACTGGAGTCTTTTAGCAAACATTACTCATGGAGGAGTAAATAATGCATTTGTTAGGGACTATTTTCAGCTGCGGATTAATGCACATTTGGTGTATTAGTAAGTATTTACTGCAACAGGATGGTTTATGTATAATAAGCTAGAGCCACAATGATACATGGATAATAATTTACACTTTAATATACTTCTGCCATGTTTATACTATATTTACCTCTGGTATACATATGTGTGTATATATGATTTTTAATATCTTTATGCATGTATTTTTATTTCTTTTTATTGTTATTATTTTATAATATGTAATTCTAGTAATTATGTAGTATAGTAGTTATGTTCAGGCCTGGTTCTACAAGGGTTCAGTTTAATAATTTGCACCCTTAATTCCAACTATTCAAGTTTTGTATTATTTATATTTACATATAATAAGTCCATAATGTATATATGCATATCCATATGTACACACACACACACACACACATACATATATATATGTATGTATGTACCTGTTTGTACCCATTCACATCACAGTATGTATGTGCATATTTATTTTATTACCTATTTATAAGCTGTTTATCCATCACAGTATATATGCATTTATATACATACCTGTCTACAACCTGTTCTTATTATATATATATATATATCATATCATATATCATAACATCATATATATATATATATATATGTGTGCAACCTGTTTATATTACAATTTATACATTTTACTATTGCTTAATTTTGTATTATATTCCTATATTTTATATTACACATATTTTTTCATTCATATCTATAAGAAGGATGTCGGATGGAGCTTGAGATCTTAAAATATAATTGTAATTGTTGTGCATATAACAATAAAGAACTTGAAACTAAGGATTTGGCTACATAGGCAACACTAGTAGTTAGTAAAATCAATCTATTGAGGGTATTGGTATTTTTGTTGAAATACTGATTATAACTAACCTTTACCCTTTAAGGACCTCTAGAAATGATGAGCTCTTCTCATTCGCCCTTCAACTTCAGGCAGACTGTTTGTGAGTGTGTGAAATTACCAACATGGACCCAGAACAATGAGGAATATGCAAGCGTGAGACCCCGGGCTACTAAGAGGGACCACTGTTTCCATACGTAATATCCTCTGTGTATATGTGTGTGAGAGTGTGTGATATTGTGTGTGAAATTGAGGGAGGCCAAAATGAAATCTCCCAATTCATAGCTGCGAGCAGTAAAGCACACATTCAGCAGTCAAAGCCCCATAATATTCTGTCCCGTGCACAAAGTGCAGTAACACAAACACACATTTTTTTCATGACACACACAAAAACACATTTTGAATTATTTTTCAGATGCATTCAATTTAATTCCCGTCAAACATCTCTGTATTTCTTTGTAGTTATCTTATTCAATATCATGCTCTGTGCGCACACACGCAGGAGAACAGGGTCAGAAAAAGTCAAGGCTCACATAATCAGTAACGACAGGAGGAAACAGGACAAATGGAGAGAAATAACCCTACAAGAGCTTTGCCTGTTTGCTAATGAGCTCATTCAAACAGCTGGGAACAACGGAGAACTGCTCGTTCTCACTAAGGCCGTGGGGCTAGGTATGTAATCAAAGGGAAAATGAGGGAAGAGAAAACAACGTGTAAGGAGAGAACATTACGGGCACGGTCATAGTGTGCCAGTCAGTTGCTGTATTAAATAGCAGCCCCGCGGCTAACAATCACTCACAAGGGGACAGAAGCAGGTGGGCAGCACATTTCTCACCTGGCTAATAGCTGTGTTATGAGAGGGCAGAGTCAGGCAGAGGGAGAAGCATTTCATAGTCTTTTCCTCAGAGTGGAAGAGACATACTCACACCAATCCCTAATCTTAACTGTAAAGGGTTAATTTTCGGATGCTCTGTAACTGTAGCTGGTGACAACTTTAATATATCTCATGTTTTTCCTTGTTATCTAGTAAAGCTTGGCCAGAAATAACCCACATGACTAAATGTACGGTCTTCAACCTATTTTGCCCTCTACTGACTTGAATCGCTCAACTTTGGAGAACCACACAAAATCTGAATCACTAGTACCAGCACTGACACGCTGAAAAGGGCAACAAGACTTCTCACACAGTGCAAACAGCATTCGCTACACAGTCGACATCTCCCTCATCAAATACACACTCGGCATTCAATCACTCTGTGCGTTCAGGCAAGGTATTACGATCCTGGAAGGAGAAGGAAGAAGAGTAGGTGGAGGAAAAAGGGGCTTGCGAGAAGAGTTATGTTGAAGTTTTATCGTTCATCACAAGGGAGGCACAGTGTTGCCTTGAACATGGACAGAGACTAAAGACACTATGATCTGCCTGCAAAAAATGCCCCAGGGACGGAGCATCCATCAAATCAGCTGTCCCTGACACTCCCTGAGGAAAATGACAAAAGCGAGGATGTAATGCAATTCGTTGCAGTATGAGTAAATAAAACAAAAAGAGTATCATGACATATGAAGCGTAACATGGATAAATATAGTTTCAGTATAAAGTTACAAGAGGATGAAACACATTTACTTGCAGTATTTGAAAAAGAATTTGGCTTACGTGTTAATTATTGAGCTTTAGAGGTGCCTTTGGTCAGAGCCAGGCTAGCTCTTTCCCCATGTTTCTAGTCTTAATGCAGCTAAACTAACTGATGGCTGACTGTAGCTTCATATTTAGTGTGTGAAGTAAAAACATTGTTTGAGCCAAAATACCTTGCGATCTTGTCACTGCAGGACATAGTGAGTAACCTCTCCCCCTGCAGCACTCCGTCCCAGGTCTGGATGGTGTTGCTGGACCTTACAGGGATGGTGCCCTCCCCCGACTCAATTTTGGTCCTTAACTGTCCCCGTGCTTTCCGGTTGGGATGTCTGTCTCCTTGGTCTGAGTGAGACAGCATGGGAAGACAGAAATAAAAAAAGACATATATAAAAGTATAGAACTGTAGAGGAAATTACAGATGTGCCTACTAATATGAATGCTTTATAAGACAATTTCACATACGATAGCCTGTGCGGAAAAGTTTGTATACCATGTGCAAATATCTCCTCAACATGAGAAAACAGAGAAAGAAAAGAAAGAAAGAAAAAATGGCTTCCACAAAAGCATGACCTATTATTTATTATTATGTTATCAATGTTTTTTGCTGTTCCACCAGCAGGCGCCATCTATTCAGTGACTAATTGAATGTGGCTGTTTTCTATTCAGTCTGCCATGTGCATTGGAAAACACTTTGACAAGAGTAAGAGGGAGGTTAATCAGACAGACAGTGTGGGTGGGCTGGGCGGGAGAAAGACTGATAGAGACAGACAGCAAATGACAAAAAGCTCTAATTACTAGAGCCTTGTTTAAATGTGTCTGTAATGTGTATTTGGACATCGGAGCAAAATTCTAATTAAATGAAACCAAGCATGAGTAAAACCTACAAATTAAATTAAATAAAAAACACTGTTGTTGAAACTGAATTGCGAACTAAGATGAGACCAAATTGAAAACATGTTGGTTGAGCTGAGGAGGAGAGATGAGGCAAATGTGAGGAAGCGTGCAGATGCTCTGCGATCTGTTTGGTACCTTCAACTCCGGCCTCGTGCGGAGAGAAGATCCTGGCATCTCCGCAGGGCGAGGTGCTGATGTAGAGATGGAACTGAACGTTGTCCTTTAACCTGTAGCCTCCCTTTTCACACTGCACAAATATTGACTTCTGGTGGTCCTCCTTGTTGTTGCTAAAACGACACACGCACATTTTTCATTATAGCTCATTTAAATGGAGTTAAAATAAATTGAATTAGATACTGCAAAGAACAGTGGAAATACATATAATTAGATTATCAATACATGCAACCTCCCAGCACTGAACTGTGTTGAAGAGAAAAAATGTACACTGTCCACTGACCTGAGGAATAACTCCAGCTGCGTGTAGAGGTACCTGATGAGTGAGCGTCGGGCGATTATCTCAGCGTGGCAGTCATTGAGTGCCAGGCCGCGGTCGCTCATGTACTCACCGTTGATGCATTTGGTTCCTGTGGAGACACAAATAACCTGTGCTTCCTTCACATCTGTGCCTGTTAGGGGTTGAGGGAACAAAGACATATTAGTCAATTGACACGCAACAAAGAATATACTATACATGTGCAAACTGGTCTAAATTCGGTTTTTAATGACATTGACAGGACAGAAAAAATCCAACCAAACTATTGCCCTTGCCTAACCCTGCAGAGTGTTATATAACCTGATAGGTTGGTATAGCTTGTATCATGTCTGCATCTCTGTCTTGTAGCTGAGCCAAAGCGCCCTTGCCAAGTTATATCTATAGTTTGATGGACACCTCATTGGGCATTATCCTGTACATACTGTTGGGTTGTCTAATCTATAGCAATGCATCTTATTTTATAAGCTCATCGTATGCATTTGCATGTTAAATCTTAATTTAAAGTGACTATATATCTATATAAACTGCAGTAAACTTTACTCCTTTTATACTCAAAGGAAATAATTTAAACTCAAGTACAAATACCTTAATTTGGTCTTTAGTAAATGTATTTAGTCATATTCCACCCCTAGTAATAGGACTGAACACAAAACTGTTCAAAACGCTGCAAATGTAAGTAATTCATGAACAAACATTAACTTAACAACGACTTTTCAGCTCTATTAGGCTTGTAACCTGAATTTTTCTTTCAATACTTGAAAATACTTGACTGTCAGTGCCATATGTTGTAAGCATAAAAGCACCCCGAATATACCTGTTGTCATGACGACCCCTGCTAGGACTTTCCGTCGCGCATGGGGGGAGGTGAAGTTGTCTGTCAGCTCACTGAACTTATCCACCACCAGGCGAGAGACGGCATCTGCCAGAACCTGAAATCACACACACACACACACATGCATGCAGGCACACAGTCACACAAACACAAGCTTGTGTCAGATATGTCAGCTTACAAAGCACGTCTGATGTTATCCTCCCCTAGAGCAGCATGTACCTGTCACAGTGTTCGCATTCATCTCCAAACAAGCGTTGAAACGGCAACAAGTGAAACTAGGTTGACCCCCGGAGGTATACCTAACCGTCTTTCAAGCAACGGTCTTTGAGTTTGGCATGACAGTTATAATTTACCATCTCCCTTCTGACAGTAAGTCACAAAAAGCAAAAACCAAAGTAAACTTGAGCAACAAATATGAACAAAGTGTTTGTCGACGTTCCACAAGGCTTAAACCTCCAATCTAAACTCTGGGGGAACCTCGAGTGAACTTGACACATCTTTTGTTCTTAGACAGCTACCTCCTCTTGCTGGCTCTTTATCCATTGCTAATGTGATGGAAAATGACGACAACCAAGAGGAGAGACGATGGCTGGATGACCACAAATTAAAGAGATTAGTCCAATATTACTTCCCTGCTACTTTGGAGTCACCCACTCGTAGCCAGATCATTTGACTTTCGAATCTCAAGGTTGTCTATGGAGTAGACTGTTAGCGGTACAAAAAAGTACCAATCACTCGGACAAAAAGCACACGTTCAAAAAATATTTCCTTTCAGGAATCAGCAAAAGATAACTTTCCTTTGTTGCATGCCCAAATTGATAACTTTGATTTAAGTGCCATCAAAACCAAGGCAGACTATAAAATAGACTAAAGTTAACATGTTTTTTGAAACAACGATGGACTCCAACCATTTTCCCCCATTAGTCCCAGATGGAAACAGGCTGCAGAAACTAAATACCGAGCTCCGGAGAATTAATAGAGCAATTAGTTGGGGCACTATCGTTAAAATGGGGTTCTTGTAGAATAAATCAGTTGACAAGTGGAGAGAGTGAGTAAAGAAAAAAAAAAGCTTTGGGACAGGGACTGTTGACAGTGTGTTGTGCTGATTAGCTTTGTCGACAGTGTTATCTCTCTTCAAACACTGGCATGGCTCTGACTGTCACCTCTTCAGTGGCATCAAGAGCAACCACCTGCCCTCGGTCCCTGCACACATGATGCCAATGAGGTTTTAATGATAACCTACTAGAACAACAAAGTTTATGCAGCACAGATGGAGCAGTTTGGAGTAGACCACTTTTGCAACCCAAAAGTCATATCCATATATTTGGGTTAGGGTTCCCTGTTAAGTTTTGGCCAAATCTCTGACTACTATGATATAAAAATGATACTATGATGATATAATTAAATCATCCATTTATTTTGGAATACACTCATTAAAAAAGAGGGGTGTAATTCATCTGAAAACTCTTTTTACAAAGATGAAAAATGCACATAATTTAGGGAGAAGTAAGATAGGGACCGGTCACTGTCATCTCAATTATCCGCATGACTTTCAGTTTTCTCTCAGTTCAGTTATCAAGTTTTGACTTTCTGGACTCTCTTCTTAAATTCTGATTTGCAAATGATTGACATGGTCAAGTAAATGATCCATGTAAAACATGGTAAACCTTTTTAAAAGACTGAAGAAAGCAAATGGCTGATGCTTCATCTGGTCCCAACAACTGAACATCTACCCAATAGTATGGCAATCTATAAAGAAAATCAACATCTTACCTGGGGTAGGTGAAGCTGCAATCCCTCTCTTGGTATGGGTTGCCGGGATGGTGTCTGGTCTAGCTGCATGTTGAAGAGAGCTGAGAGGGCGGCCTGTGCTGCCCGGGCTTTAGCCAGCTTCTTGTTGCGCCCTGAGCCTTCAAACGTCTGTGCATCCACTGTTACTGACATCACAAAATTCTTAGCATGACTCTCCCCGCTCTCTGAGACAAAGTCATATTTGAGGCCTGGCCTGAGCTCATTGAGGATCATGACTGGGTTTTTGCCACTGGAGGGTGAGCTGAATGCTGATGGAGGGGGCAATGGGGCCTGGGCAAGGTTGCTACCAGGTGGTGTGGGCAGTGGGTACTCCCCTAATGAGTTTAAGGAGCTGTTACCATTAGAGCCTAAATAGAAGGATTCTTCAGGTGCAGCTGGTGTCTCAAAGCCATTGAAGAGCATATCTGGGAAGTCAGCTTGGTCAGATGTAAAGTCTGTGTTCACTGTCAATGTGCGACCCATGGCCAGGTGTGCCTCAGAGGCATTGGGGAACTGGACGAAAGAACGCAGCGCTTTCTCAGCTGCATTTAGTTTAGCCTTCTTCTTAGTCGGGCCCATGCCCTCAAACATCTGTCCATTGACCTCCACAGTCATGACAAAAACTGGTGCATGGACTGGTCCTGTCTGAGACAGCAGTTTGTACTGTAGACCCGGTTTGATTTCGTTCAACTGCATCAGAGCATTCTTGGGCAGGACTGGCCCTGGTGTTTTCTTGCGCTTCTTGGCCCGGAACTTCGAGTGTGCATGTCCATTGTTCCCCTCTTCTAGGGGGCGCTTTCGACTGCCCAAGCCGCTTCCATTGGGGAGCTGTTCAGCAACTCCCACACCGTCTTTGCAGGACACGTTGTCCAGGTTTCGGTTTTCCTTAACATCGGTGCTGCTCGAACCTGCGGTGCCCAGAAAGAGTAACTTACAACGCCTTCGTTGCAGGATCTTGTAAATGCAAAATTTATAGATTCCTTTATCACTCTTTGGAACTGAACCAATGATTTGTGTTCCATAATCAAAGCAAGAGAAGCTGGCTTTTAATGTGATTGAGTATATGAACCTATAGTCTATTGATATTGAACACCTCAGTACATCTATTTTTCTTACAGATATGCCGGGTTCTTAGAGATGTACCTTGGTCAACATTCAAAACAGTGTTTTTTGACTATATTTACGTTACATGGTACACTTTGAAATTAACCTCTTAATAGATCTTCATAATTAAAATTGTAGTTATGAAGCCTTGTTATTATAAAGGTAAAGGTAAAGTGAGAGAAATATATTTTCAAATAAAACAACTTCTGTACATTTGTCAGGTTGCACGTGCATGTTATGGGTCTCAAACATTTATGCAAACAAATACGAGAACACATATCAACACTCAACATTGACACACACGCTCACAGAGCTGTTTCTCATCCACTCCATCAAGTTTTAATTGCTCAAGTGCCTATGGAAAGATTAGGTACATTTTAAGTGTTCAAAACTGCTGGCTCTGAAATATGCTGTACTGGGGGAACACATATCACTGAATCCAGTTAGCAAAGTGGATGGAATATTGTCAAAAATTTTCATTTATAACATCCTTCAGCAAAGGCTTGATAGGTTACTCCTTGCGGTACTCAGGAGAAAGAGAGGCCGCAGTGTGCATGAGTGGGATTGTAGGTTGGGTTGAGGGAGTGCAGGGAGGAGTGCAGGGGGAGGAGCTGAGGACCAGGCAAACAGGAGAATACATCAAAGAGGCAGAAGGAGAAGACTCCACCTACTGCGGGATCCTAAAGGCTTGACTGGTGACACGGTGGGAGGTTAAAATGCTGTTTACCCGTTTTATATAAGATTTTGAAAAGAATGACTGTCATATTTAAAATGAGGAAAATCTGAATTCAAAATCTGTTTCTAATGAGGTGCCATTCATAAGACCCTGCGCCTCTGAGATCCCCCCCATGGAGCTTGTCAGAGAACACAGTGTTTCAGGTTGCAAAATGTAATGACATGCCGTTACCATCTGCATACTACAATTGACATGTCTAAAGGCAAGAAAATATAGACACTTATTCCTAAGATCAAGAACACAAACTGCATATCCTACAGTTTATGAGCATATCTGCACTGAAAACATGCAATATTTTTGGTGTGAACATGCATTCTGAAAACTGGTATTAAGAGTTTTGCAAAACAACAGGGGAAAGGAGGGACAGCGTGATTGTGCACAGTAGTAGCCAAGAACTATCAGCTATCTAAATGGTGATTTGTGTGTTGGACAGGGACACATTTTCAGCAAACAACCTTTTACCACCACAGATACGGCAGTATTAGTTGAATCATTTTAGCTGTGGTGGAAAACTGTACATGTTAAATGAGGACTTTGACTCTCTTTCTTAATGAAGTATTTTGAAATATACAGCATGTAGTACTATAGCCCATTGTCTTTCTCTGCAAAGGGTAGAATGCAAAGAACTTTCAGCTACTGGAAATGTGTGAATTTAATGCATAATATACTTAAATACACACATTTAGCGATCAGTACCCTTTCTCATAACAGTTATATTTGTGGGGTATTGGAACTAATAAGCCAATCATAAAAATTTTACCACAAACTGAGAACTCTAGCATGCTGCACAGACAAATACAGTGAATATCATGGCACAGGAAAAACTGGAGCTCTCTTTCTCCGTTTCAAAATGTATAAACACATTTAAACTTCCTCTAAAAGGGACAAAATTGATATTAATCATTTTATAGTATAATAACTTTTTGCAGGATGATGGATATCCAGTCGCACTCCAGAGCCTAAGGCCAGATCAGAGGACAAAAGACATAGAGCCACAGCCATGACACCATGCATTGAATTATGGCACACACATGCAGTTGTGGTCATTATCATGCCAGCATCTGTGTAATCAGCACCCATTAGTTATGCAAAGACAAAAGATCCGATATGCTTGGATCTTTCAGAGCTTAGATCCCCTGTGGGGGTTGAACCATGAAGCAAATAATGCTTCTTTGATCACAACTTAATTTTAAGTTTAACTTGTTTGTTGGCTTTTGATTTGGGATGATTATTGTGATTAAAGAATCTCAAGAACTGCTAAGGTTGTCACATAAAAGTAAAAAATTATTTCATGTTTTTCTCTGGGTTTCCCTTGGTATTAAAGAAATAGACTTGAGTGAGCTTGGACGGTGTTTTATCTTCAAATATATCTTCTGAGGCTTCAGAAGCTTTGAAAGACAACAAACACTATTTTTGTAACTATGCTCATTTGACTTAACACATAACAACATGCTTCTCCTCAGAGCAAAACATGGAGTTTGACACTACAATAAGAACTTTTTGTTTGTAATGCAGGTTATGGCATCTGCTAGGATGACAGCTTTCTTTGAATGTGAGTTCAAAATTGTTAGGGTGTGGGGAAACACATTCAATCATGTCTTTCCTTGCCTTTAGAGGCTCGCTTACTGAGTTCAAACCAAAATGTCTAATTAAAGTTCAATAAGCTGGAGTAGAGAGGATTTTCTAAAGACAGAAATGGAGGTAGAGGGAATCTGTAATATAACCTGAAGCCTCTCAGTGGTAATGATTAGTTCTTCCCTCAAAAGTTTCAGTAAAATCAGCAGCATGTATTTGTGTGTGTATTCACTGCTCTATGTCTTGGTTCAGGTGAGGACAAATCATAGCTCCCATCATGGTCATGGAGGGGCAAATAAATGAGAATATAATTAGCAACACAACAGAGATAAACAGTATTTTTTTTTTTTTTTAACATACTGTCAGGAAACACAACTGTATGTACAGGTTAGATTTTCATGTAGTTGGATTAGTTTTGCATTGTATTGCATGTTAAGTTATTTTAAGTAGGCCAAGCATACTAATACTTGTGTAATATTAGCAGGAAAATGTGCTCACACTGATTACACATCAGAGAAGGACAGGAGGGCATATCAGAGAAGACATGCAGGCAGGAAAACAAAAATACAGGAATACATTTAAAAGTGGAGACCAGCTATTGCTCAGACAGGAAGACAGACTGAAAAATGAGAAAAACCAGAGTCGACTCACTCATATTCTCCTCCTCATCCACATCCATTGTGATGGGTTTGTTCTGACCTGAGAGCAGCCTCGCCCCCACTGCACCTGGGGATCAGAAGAAATAAAGGTGGACTGCATAAGCACGGACAGAGTGAAACGCGTGCACATAAACACATTCAAAGACCTTGAGTGGCAACGGTGATGATATATTTCTTGATGCTCCAGCACACACACACACACACACACACACACACAGAAAGAAAGAAAAATGCACATATTGCACTGTGCAAGTAGCCCATGATGTAGGCATATAAATATTCAGAAACTGAAAGATATCAAGGTGAGAAAGGAGGCCAGGGCTGACAGGCCTTAATAGCAGAAGCAGTCTATTGTGACTTTAATATCCCTCCGATTAGACCTCATTTCCCACTGCCTGCTGAGAGATTTACAGCTAGTGACATGGCCAAGTTACTCCATTGCCACACACACACCTTATACCAAGGTGGAGAGTGCGATTAAAGCTCCATTAAGCAATATTTTTCACACTAACATAGAATCAAATGATTTCATGCAATCTGAAATGTTCGCTCATGCTGCCAATTACACTGACAAAGAACACCCAACTCTGAGGCTATACGATTTTTTTTTCTCTTTTGTGCACCTGGCTCCATTTTGATATTTTATTAAGTCAGATCCATAGCAACAAATGAGTGGCTCATTAAGAAAGCCTAAACTTTTGAAAAAAAAAAAATTTTTTGGGGCCACTTTGGGTCAAGGAAACAAGGGAAACACGTCACTGACATATCGTCACTTTGTAAAGAAGCTGTGGACCTGATAGACCAACATAATTATTCATTTCAGTGTCGTTTCTGGCCACTTGACAAATTTAAGTCCATTATTCGCTGTTCATTTTGCTCTGTTTTTAGTGTCTACCAACGTCTGAGGAAAATATCTGACTCTTTAGCTGCTAAATGCTCAACTGTTTTCTAGCCCCTAACTTTGTCTGTCTGCTGTTTGGTGCTGGGAAGATAGTGTAGAGTTGTTTATCAAAGCTTTTTTATTGAAAACAGCTTTTATTGACAACAACATCTTGCGGTGTATATAACCCAAACATTGAACTGAGAGATGCTACAAAACTTTATTGAATTTAGGGGAGCTGCAAGATTTGGGTGATAAATCTCTGTGCGATCCCTTTCACATTACATGCAGTCATTTTATCTATTGTTAATATAAAAAACATGAATTGATTAAGCTTTAATTATACCAAAACATTTATAAAATAGCAAAATGGTTGGTAGGACTACTACCAAAAAATGTAAATATCACATTCATTTAGCATATGACAAAAAATTTTAAATCACACATTTTATTGTTGATGTGTGTCAACCATTAGGTTTACTTCACTAATCATTTTAGCCAGCTGAACATCATTTTAGTGATGTTCAGCTGTGATGTGAAGAAGAGGGGCTTGCTTGGAAAAGTTGCGCCACTGGCTCATACTGTACTACTAATTAAAGAATAGTTCCAAGAAAGTTTCAACTGCATAGACTTCCCCATCAGTCTCCCCACTGAACACTTGAAAAGTCATGGCGACAAAAAAAAAGTAGTGCAGTGATGAAACAGACTAACAGAGTAAGTTAGATGAGAGAAGGAGCGAGTTAAAGCAGCAACGAGGAAAAAGGGAGAGCGACAGAGAGAAAGCAGGAGAAAGATGGCATTATGATATAGAACAGATTGTGCTGATTCTACTCTCTCTCCACTCGTCTTCCATCAGTGCCCCCATTCCTCAGCCAGACACTTTCTTAAGCTAAACTAAATGGGCTAATTAATCTGGGCTAATGGTGGGTGACAGCAAATATGCTAGCACAATTATCACCCTATTAAAGATTCATATTCCAACCCATAATTGAAAATGAAAAGGTGGGGTGAAGGGAGGATGGGCGGGAGTAGGTCCAATAGAGTGGAAGATAGGACTAATTTCTCTCAGGTAGCAGGAGCCAGGTGCCCCCGGCCCCCACGCACACTCATCCACCAACTCAAAATCCCATCTACACACAAGACTAGTTGCACTACTTACAGGTTGTTACTTCTGCAGTGCATGTCGCTGTATGGTTTGTATGTGTGGAGGTTTAACTCGTTGACTATGTATAGTTTTAACATCTGAAATTGGTGTTTCACTTCCAAATAGTCTATTGTCTCTTCCCGTTAATTGTGTGGCCAGATGTGGAATTGGACAATTGTGAGCAAATGAAATACATTCAGTATATCTAAGTGTAAAACAAGACAGTATTAAACATAAAACAAGACAGTATTAAACATAAATATAAAAGACCGTTGTGTTATTCACATACTTTTTCCTTCCTCCTTCATACGTCCCCCAACACACACTGCTGTGTAGTTTAATCAGCACGCAATGCAAATGTGCCTGTCAGCTTTGATTTTCAGATGAGACCGCCTCGGTCATAAATCTGTAACTATTCCTGAAATCAGGTGCAATCATTGGGGAGAGTCCCACAAAGAATTCATAAAATGAGTGTATGAGTGTGTGTGTTTGTGTATGTGTGTCTTCTGAGGGTAAATGGCTACGAAGTCCTAAAGGGCAGAAAAAACTTGATCACTGCATTCTGTTACCTAAAATAAAAGCTCATATTTTTAGTGTTGAGTGAGATTTATGATCCCTATTACAATCCTTCTATATGTTTTTTTAAAATACAACAGTGTCAGTGAGGACACAGTGTACACCAAATACTCAGAAATGGAGATACTATTAGGACAGATCAGTGTATAGTGTGCTGTGTGCTGTATGTATCAGTGTGAGTGTATCTCCTCTTTATAACAAGGTAATTTAGACCAAGTTCAGCCAAATGCTGAACAAAAGTGACAAATTAGAGTTATTTAGATTTTGACTTTTAGAAAATATATCAAGTTGTCTGATCGTTAATAAAGGAAAATAAATTACATATTGCCTAAAGGAAAGCCTATTAAGCTTAAAATGCAGTAACATTCTCTCCAATACGGTCCACTGCCTGATTCCCCCTAGGTATTATTTTAAGATTGGTAATCAGAAATATTCACAAGTATACAAGCTGCTTTGTTTAAATGACCCAGACCAAACAAAATGTGATTGATATGTTTTTGGAATAAAAA